TAGTTAGTAGTGAGTGTGTGTGTGTGCTCGAGTGTTAGAGTGATGCGTGTGGGATATCCAGGGTGATCCAGTGTATGTGAACAGTGAGATGTTTGGGCGCTGAGGTCGCCATAGCCAATTGGGAGAGAAATTCGTATCTGAAAACCATATCTCTGAGTTTTGAGTGGGCGCATATCGCCAGTATGCTGCGTTACTGTTTACATGTGTGAAAAGCGTGTTTGAAAACGAGTCTGATTGCACAACACTGACCGATGCATACCTGCAGCGGCACAAAACATGAAGGAACTTCAAGGAAGCCATACCACACAAGGCTACAGAACAAGGAGAAGAAGAATACGAAGACGAAGACGGCGAAGAAGAAGAAGAAGAAAAAGTGGTAGAAGAAGAAGACCGCAGACACACACACACACACACACACACACACACACACACACACACACACACACACACACACACACACACAACTGTCCCTTGATCCCTTAATCGGAGTGGCATGGGCTCATCCCCCCATCAAGTGACCGCGGGCGACTGCCGTCACTGTCCGGGTCATCGTCACTAATGACACGCTTCTTGCGAGCATTAGTGTTGCGGCGCCCGTGCTGCAACGCAGTCTTGTCGACTGCCTTTTTTTTTTTCTGGGCCTTCCACGGCCGCGTCGGGGCGCTTCGGGGGACTCCGTTGTTGCCTTCCTCTTCCTGCCTGCCCTGCTCTTCCAGAGGTTGTCATGGTGGAGAGGATCGTTCAATAGAGGGAAAGGGGGCGTGCCGATGTCCTCTGCGGCCTGCTGCTCTTCCAGCTGCTCCTTCCCCCTCTCACCAATTGCAACCTGCTGGTCGGTGGTCTCTCCCTCCACTCCGACTTGTTGCTCCACGCATGGGCGGAGCCTGCGCGTGTACACGGCAACTGGTGCTTGCTGTTCTTCCGCTGCGTGTGCAGGCTCCCCTTGCTGCTGCTCGCCCTTCTCCACGGCAGGCTGGACATCCCCGTCCATTTCCTTCAGGGCCTCGCCCCTGCGCTTTTCCTGCTGTGCAGCATTCCTCTCCATCTCCCTGCGTGTAGGGATCGCTGCACGACGGGCCTCCTCCTCAGCGACCCGCCTCTCCACAAGTTCACGATCCCTGTCCGCCATCTCCTTCGCACGGGTGGCCTCTTCCTCGTCCGGGTCATCGTGGCGGTGCAGCAAAAACTCTACGTCCGTGTCCACTCTCTCGACGACCGGCGTAGGCTAAAGCTCGAGCTTCCTGTCCTGTGGCCTGGTTCGCCTGCCGACATACGTGGTCGCCGGGACTGCAGGCACCACACCCCGAGCTCGAAATCGGAGTCCTCGTCCTCGCTGCAGTCCTCCGATGATGACTCATTCCAGCACTTCCCCTTCCACACCATATCCTCGAGGTCGCTGCTGTCACTAGTGTCGGAATCGAGAAGGTTTTGGGGGATCCTGTTTTTTGGAGCCTTCGCCATGTTTCTTTGCCTCATCTCCTCATCCTCTTTTTCAGCAGCATCCTGAGTGCCGGTCGCCAGCATCGACCCGTCATTCTGTTCTGGCTCCATGATTGGCTCGAAGAACGAACCCCAGACATCAACGAACCCGATGTCCTTGTGGTGTCGAGCTCGCAGCAACTGCATGTTCCAGTGAATGTACACGAGCTTCTTGAGGGATGCTGGGGACAAACTGTTTCGTCTCTTTGTCTGGACAAAGTCCATGGAGGCCCAGTTGCGCTCAGCGGGGGTCGCAGTGCTCTACATCCCCATGACCTTGATTGCAATTGCCTGAAGTGTTGGGACATCCCCGCCATGTGCTGCCCACCAGGTCGCAGGGTTAAGCCTCCTCACATCGTCCACCGCCGGTTGTTTCCACATGTGCTCATCCTTGCGCTTCTTCATAGCTTTCCCGGGCTCCGTGCACACTTCCTCCGTCGCAACCCTCGCGGGCTCTTTTTGGAACTCCATCAACTCCGCCCACAAGTCAGAATGTTCCTCGCTGTTCCACTCACCCCCAATCTGCCTCAAGAAGTAGCGCATTGCATTTTGCATCACTGCACTGTTCTGATCGAAGAGCCAGCGTTCATTCCACCGCCGTGGATCAAGAACGAATGCAGCTGCATGAACCGGCTGCCTCATCATTTGCACGCGGTCACGCACCTTTTCCATGACATCCTCCCGCTCCTTCTGCGTCAGCACCACGTTCGTCAATTTCCGCCGAATCATATCATCGTACTCAACAAGATTGGTGGGAGGCGTGCCTTCTGCGTCCATTCTCTTCAGCAACTGGAAGATCGGGTGCATGATGTCCACAATCTTCCTCACCTGCGACCACCATGCCTCCGACCTCACTGTGTAGTACACGAGGTTAGCTCTCCTGCGCAACTTCTCCCCTGACCATCTCAATGCTCTCCACTTTGACGCCGCCCTCCCATCCACCATCGTGACAAGAACATCCTCTCTGTCCGCTAATCGTTCCGAACCGCACTTCTGTCGAACGAAGTAAGGACAACGAGTCATGGACGGTCATCATCAAGTCGTGTGTGGCGTGATGATTCCGAATGAACTTCACGATTGTGTTCGCGGTTTTCACTGTGCCCTTGATCCACGACAGGTTGGCCAAATCCTTGAGAAGGAGACTGCAGCAGTGTGCCCCGCAAGGAACCCACGGAATTCTCGCCACGTCCTTGTCCTTGCACCATTCTAGGATCTGCGCCGCCTTCTTGTTAACTTCGGCGTTGTCGGTGCAGATCGCGTTGATGCGTTGCAGTCCAATCTCCCTCATTACCTGCTCCCACAACTTCGCCAACGCCACCGCATTCTTCTTCCTGCCACTCATTGTCACCGTCACGAGCACCGCCCCTTGTTCCCCCGCCGCCAAGAAGTTCATCACTGGCCGATTCTTGCGGTCAGTTGACCCGTCCGTGATGAACGTGCATCCAGTCGAGTCCCAACACCTCGTCATCGGGTTCACCTCCTTGTGGATCTTCAAGTAGATGATGTCCAGCATGACCGTCCTCATGTAGTTGTATGATGGTAGCTTCACCTTCGGCCTCGCGTTCGCTACCTCCAGGTAAACGGCATGCAACGTCTGAGTCGTGTCCATGTTCAAGAAATTGAAAGCAATGCCAGCCCTGAACATGGCCTCCGCCCACGCAACGTCCAACTTTTTCTGCGCCGCATTGTCCACCCAACGTCGCATAGTGGTCTGTCTCAAGGTAATCGTTCGTGCTGTTTACCCTTGCCCTTCCTCACCGCCTCCGCCCTCCGCTGCACCTCCAGCGTCGACAGCCTCATCAAGTGCATCGGCGAGCATGTTTGCAATGCCGGCAACTGCCCGCCCTGCAACAGGCGGTGGCTGGGGCTCGTCTGTTTGCGGATCTTCCAAACCTTCCTCTCCATGTGATGCATCACCACGATGCACATCCGATTCGGCCTCGCCTCCCTTGTGATTCCTCAACAAGTACTTCGTGTTCTTGTCGTTAGGCTGCACTTTCGCACCACCAGCAACCAAAGTGCGGACTATCTCGCCTGCCCGCAGTGCACACGGCCTCATCGGCTTCAAGAAATGCTTCGCAGCCTTGCTTGCCGACCCCCTCCAGATTGTCGAGCACAACTTGCACCTGACCCAGTACTCCCCCCTCCCTTTCGATGTGGCTACCTCCTGTCCCTGCTCACACCATAGCCAAACCTTGTTTTTCTTTCGCAGCGCAACATGATCCGCCTCACTCTTCCCCTGGAACAAGCTTGCATCGGTTCCAGGGGTGGGCTCCTGTTCCCCGCCAACTGAAGTAGCCAATGCAGATGTCGTCCTTTGCGTACTCGATTCAGGCTTGTCAACAACAGGCACTGCAGGTCCTTTAGCCTTTGCCGCTGCCGTTGCTCTTCGCCGACTGCCTCGTTCTTCGCCGCCCCCCGTCATGGCCACCGGTGAGATATGACAAGAAGAAGAAGAAGAAGAAGAAGAAGAAGAAGAAGAAGAAGAAGAAGAAGAAGAAGAGGAAGAGGAAGACGAAGAAGAAGAAGAAGAAGAAGAAGAAGAAGAGGAGGAGGAAAACGAACTAGTTAAAAAAAAAAAAAAAAAGGTTGGCCACGGCTACGGTTGCAGGAGGAGAACGGGAGTGGAGGATGAAGACCAACAGAATAAGTTGCAGAAAAAAAAAACCGTCACCTTTGGCTATGGCTACCGATGTCGGGGGAGAAGAAGAAGAAGAAGAAGAATCAATCAATCAATCAATCAATCAATCAATCAATCAATCAATCAAACAATCCAACAATCTATCCAATCCGATCCAATCAATCAATCAATCAATCAATCAATCAATCAATCGAATCAATCAAACAATCCATCAATCAATCAATCAGTCAATCGATCAAACAATCCATCAATCAATCAATCAATCAATCGCCTCCCCACCATCCTCTCTCTCCAAGCCCACCTCTCTCCCCAAGCCTCTCTCTCTCTCTCTCTCTCTCTCTCTCTCTCTCTCTCTCTCTCTCTCTCTCTCTCTCTCTCTCTCTCTCTCTCTC